AAAAGTACAGAAACTTACAAAGATAAAAACTGATATCCTACAACAGCATTTGATATCAGCTCCCAAATGCCCTCCAGAAAAGCTCTGTTTTCATCAACTTCCAGTAGGAGACTAGAATTGGGGCCCAAGGCATTTCCTGCAGGAAGCAATTCCACAGAGTCTGCCCAAGGATAGAGAAATGATGCCTCCGAACTTCAGCTCCTGAACCTCCCCAAAATGGGGCACAAGCAACGTTCTTCCCATATTTTTCAGCCTTTCAAAACAGCCTGTGATATTTAATATGAGAACCTTCTATTGTGTTTGCAGATATTCCTCCAACTTTAAATTAAGCAAATATATACCACTTTTCAAACACTGGTAATATTCATAAAAATGAAGGAGTCAATTGTGAAACCACATAGAAGATTATGTAATTGGAATGTTTAATTTCTCACTATGAGTTAGTTTTCTTTGATCACATTTCTAGGGGAAAAATTGCAGTATCTTTCTGTGCTGTCTCTATATTGCTGGAATTCTCGGGGAAAAAGAATATATATGTCAGAGCAGGAAAAGCATGAAGGATGGCTTAAAGATGCACTGAAAATGCTTCACCTCCATATGAAGCCCAAGAGATTATAAAGCCATTATTCTTCAGGAGTACAGCAGAAAAGTACAATCTTACACATCCCTGCAAGTGATTTTAGGAATCTAACAAAGGATATTTGAAAAATATCAGTCAGCAGCAATGCTTAAAAATTAGGAAACTAGAATATTTTAAAAGAAACATGTTGGCCTTTTAAAATCAACCTTAAATCCTTTATTAATATGTACAAACCTTAAACGGTCATCAAACTTTCAACATCAGGACTAGTTCATGTATGGCTCTGAATATGATTATTTAGGGGGAATTAAGGAAGAAGGGGGGGGGGAAGCCACAGAGTTTTAAAAACATAGCAATCCTCCAACCTGTAAAACTACTTCATGAGCCAATTCAGGGCCTAGCCGCTCTCTCCCTCAATATTTTAGCACATTAGGAAAAACTAACTGAAGAGAATTTGGGTGTAATCACTTTGTTTCTTATCAAATGAAATAAAACCTAGAATCAAAACATCATAAGTAGGGGTGGTTGGTTTGCTAGTTTTGGGATGACCATTCTCATTCAAATCTATTTCCTTGTAATCCCCCATCCACCAGTTTTCCAAGACAAACCCACCCAGTTTAGCCTTCAACAATATCATTCTATTAGCAATGCTCTCTATTCTGCCTAACCACTGGCCATATTATGCCTTAGAGCAGGATTTCTCAACTTTAGCAACTTTAAGATGTCTGGACTTTGACTCCCAGAATTCCCCAGCCAGTTGGGGTCAGATCAAGCAGCTGGCAGCTCTTTACAGCTGCAGAGCCACCCACTATGGAGGATCCCAGGAATCAGAATTTGAAAGATCTGTTTTGGGATTCTTTGTAATAAGGAGCTGCCTAGAGAAAAGACTGAAATAATAACAACAGATAAAACAAAGATCTGTCCTGAGCACCTTTGGGTATGCCATTCTTCATTTGAAGGGCAAAACAATATGCTGGAAACAACCCGTCTTATCTTTCCCCCTGAAAACATGATTATTTAGGGAAAGCTCTCTCTTCTCGCCTTCAGTGCTAACAGATGGCATGCTTCTTCCACTGTGCAAAGCTGGCTGCATTCCTGCAGAAGCTGCTCTACATCTTTTTCTCAATCTCCTGCCTTGCTGCCCCAGAACATCAGGAGCACTCTAAACACAAGCATCCTTTTAGATTTCTTCAGGAAGGCACGGACAACTAGAGACACCTCAAACAAGAGGAATTGAGAGTGGGCAACGTGGGGTTTCTTTCTTTCTCCCTCTCTGCTGACAACCACATCACCAGGATGTATGATTGAAGCAAGAAAAGGGGTCTTCATCTCAAGCCTATAGCACAGCTTAACAATGCCAAGACAGACAGACAGACAGACAGACAGACACTTAATTCAATTTACTGAGTATCTCTCTAGGGTCATTTCTTTGAAAATTTAATGCAAGCAAGACAGAGCAATTACAGGATGTTTTTCTTTTTCCTCTGGAATTATAACTCGTTACTGAGCGGCAGACATGACATACAGAAGGACGTGGCAAACGCTTACAGAAAACAGCAGAGTCTGAGAGAACGAGACCCTCCTTGTCTTCCACCATTTTGCTATGCTACGATGCTTTCCTGATTTTCAAGCATTCCTGCCATCTTTAGGATTAGCAATTGAACTCTTTCCCAGATTAATTGGGCAATAATCAACCTTGGCTGATTGCAATCTTTTATCAATGACTTATAAGCACATACAACTTTTCTCCTTCCCTGACCTGCAAAGTATCTGCAGATAAGAGCAGTCCAGTTTAGCATTACAAATACCAACTGGGTATCAACAAGTGCAAATCCCAAATGCATATTGTTTTTGCTTCAAATGTGGTAGCCCTGAGCATAGATTAGCAATAACAATCACCCTTGCTCAGAGTGGCAACCTGTAACAGGTACCTCTTAACACGGTACTTGTTCAGCTCCAGGTCTGTTTGTTTTCCTTCCATGCAGGCAGCAATGCTCAGAAGTATTCTAACAGGAATATTTCATATGAACTGAATAGTGCCTGAACTGCAATAAGGAAAGCCTAGACTGTATGATCAGAACTTTCCATTCAGCCCAACACAGAACTCATAAATCTAAACACTCCGCAGAAGTAGAAAATTAAAGTCTTTCTGAAAACAGAGTATTTAATGCAACTTCTGCATAATTTATTCCACAGCTGAGACCCCTGTTCATAGCAGGTGAATTCCAAATTTTAAAGGATAGCAAAGTCTACTGAGCATAGGTCAAGGGTTGGCTCTGTCCTCCATGCCAGTCTGGAGAGCAAGCAAACTTTTCTGAGATGACGCAGGCAAGAGACATTGCAAGCAAAGGGACTGCTGGGATTGTACAGAGGAAGAAAGACCAAACTTAGAAAACAGGGAAGAGGAGGCAACAGGACTAACATGAAATTGGAGAGGTAAACTTGTCAAACTCCATTCAAACATTCAATAAATACTAGATTCCATAGGTACATCTCCATCCTGCTTCCAGATATATATTAGATGTGGTGAATGTGCACACAGAATCCTAACCATTGCATGCAGCTTTAAAAGGTACAATTTAAAAGGGTATTTATTCAGTGAGGGATGGATGAAGGCCTGGCATGTTTAGCTATGGGTTGATGGGTGGATGTCTGCTTACCTATCTGCCATATTTCTATATTAATATGAAAAGTGTGGAGGCAGAAGGACACAATGACACTCCCCGCATGGCTACCACCCCAGGTTTATAGTATTCCATGTGTTATTAGGCCTTCAGCTGCTTGTCATGATGTGGAACAACATTCTCCTTACATCAGCCACTTGAACCAAAATGTTACTGTAAAAAGCAATGAAGGAGATAAATAGAAGCCCGAAGCACATGGGAAAGTTGGCACGCTGGCATTTTGTTCCTAAGCAGTCTTGCCATACATCAGAGTGATTCTGAACTACCTTGGCTAGCTCCTCTCCATCCCTGCTCCATTTAGGGTTATGTGTGTACATTAGAGAAGTACAAGTTTCTACTTAAAAAAAAAATAATTCCACTACAGAATGTGTGTTAGGGTACCCTGGCAGACTACACACAACATTAGAGATTGGAATATATTTTGTCCCCCTTTATCTTTCTAATGCATGCACAGAACTACCAGGCAAATCATGAGCAATTTATCCTTCAAAAGAGCACACTGGGAATAAGTCTGTGGTAATGGATTTTAAAATTGATTTAGTAAAGTAGTGCTTTGACTTTTAATTTAAAGTAGGAGGACAGAATAAAGGGATACAAGTAATTAAAGAATATAATATGATTCTCGAACAAAGGGTGAGAGATTTAGTTCACAGCAGAGAAAAGCTTTAATCAATGATGATCTCTTATTTCACTTGGAAAAAAAGGCTTAGAAATGTTTTGGCTCCCATTCTGCCCAGGGGCAGACTTAACTTACCTGTAAGAAAAGAAGTATTCCAGGATGACTATCCACACATTGCATGAATTTGTAAAAAGAAAAAGAAAAAAAACCCCTCCTCTGGCCAATCTCAGAAGTTTGCTTTATTCAAAACTTGACTGAAGACCACTTTGGGGTCCCTTTCCATTAGTTTCCAGTTTGCAATCTAAAAATCAGAGGATCTTCATGACAGAGAACTGGCACCAATGGACCCTTTGTGACCATACAACACTGTTAAGCACAGCACTGGGAGGCTGTTCCATGTGGCTGGAGGCAGCATCTCAATGATGCAATTATGAGGGATACCTCATGGCATGGTAACTACTGTGCTGCTAGGGGTAATCTACAAAGAGCACGATATACAGCACATGAATTAAGACTGATTAAATGTAATCTAGAGTAACATTTTTATTCCAATAGAAATGATACCCATAGCAAGTAAAACCACTTGACTTGATCAGATGGGACGCAAAGTGTTGGCTGAAAAAAGAAGCATTTCCATTTCTGATACAACATGTAGAGCTTCACAGAGATCACAGGCACCTTGTAACTCCTTACACTGAACTAACAGCCTCCACAGTGCCCTAAAACACTGGAGATCTTATTCTATTATCACTTCCTCCTCCTCTTCCTGCAAAATGCGTCTTCCGAAAAACAAAGAATCCATCAAGCGGAAAGGCATGGAAGATCTTTTTCAGCTCAGAGCTTTCTCTGGAATTACATATGTCACTCTTAAGGTCACCTGGACTTTCTCTCTGCTAGGCGGTGCCTCATTTCTTTCTTCGGGATAATCTTAATCATACAAAGAAAGCAGAAAACATCAGGAACCGCATTTGCTAAGTCTACAATGTCATCTTCCAATTTTTCCAAGCAGCACATTTGTTTATCTTTCCAAGTTGCAGAGCAATTCCCAAACCATCCGATTTAGTACAGTTTTAACATATATACATACCATGGAGGCAAAAAGAAACATGTCTCCTACCTTGCTTTCCACCAGAGAGATGAGAATCTGCTCCATGATGCTATTAAGGGCTGGAACAGAAGTCTGAATGTGGCCAATTACTACGCCTATAGCAACCCTGGAGAGCTCATAGCTGAGATTTGTGTTCCTGCGGATCAGCTCAATCAATTCAGCCCCTATCGTCTTTGGCACGGTGGTCACTGGGCCAGATGACTCCTGCTCCACCTCCTCTACATTGGCCGCCTTCTCATCTTCCAGGCAAAGAGAATCAAAGTTTTCTATCCCTGTAGATGTGGCTGGTGCGGCCTCCGTTGCTTGTAAGGACTTCTTGCCACCTGCATCTGACACCTCCATTTCGGCAGGAGGTTGTGGAGCAGCCCTTTTGGTCTGGGGGGATTTGCTTGCACTCCCATGTTTCCTTTGCACTACAGGACTAATATCTAAGCTGGATGATGCCATGGTGAGGGCACTTCTGCTAGGAACAGGGGGAGGAGTATTGTTGGGGCTGGATGTAGCAGTAGGGAGACCTGACTCTGTTGAACCCGTGTACAAGGTATCCAGTGAAGTTGTGCTTTCAGTAGAGGTGCTAGAAACTGACCCAGAGGTGATTCCAGTTGCATCTGAAAGGAAACAATTAACATGCCTTAGCAACAAAATCAAAAGAAAAGAGGGTGGTTAAAAAAAAACAAAACTGCAGCAGAGCCCATTAAGAATTTTACTGTGGATGCTTTCAGAGTAGTTTAACTACTTTTCTTGGTTCACTTATCTCAAAGCAAAATTGTATTAACTGTCTCTTGAGTATTCCTGATCGCTAATCTCTTTACAACAAGGGAGAAGTCTGTTCTACAGAGAGAGGTTTTCATGTTTTTATAAGAAAGTATTTTTATAGGAAAGTTTTTATGTTATAGGAGAGAAATGGATACTTTTAGGCAATATTTTTCATTTTATGCATACAGGTATTGTTTTTGAATAATACCTCTTTTATACATTAAAAGAGACAAAAGAGGACTATCGCTAAATAATACCTTGATTCTTTATGCAACTGTTTTCATGGAGCAAGGAAGAGAATAATACAGAGCCTGTCTGAAGGCAGGGTTCACATTTGGCTAAAAGCAGCTGACTACTCTTCCTCACCCACGTGGCCTTAAGACTTGAAACCCTCATGTCCCCTGACTGCTGCTGCTCAGATGCTGCTGCCCCATTATTCTTAGGTGACAGACACATGGTAGCTCCAGTTCTTCAGCACTAGGCAATCAAGTTCAGATGAGATTTTTTGTGAGCGTAACAGGAACATAAACTCATCCTGGCTTGTTGTATTGTTTTGATTACACAGCCCAGTTAGGCAGCCAATGCACTTTCAACAAGTTCTGCAGAAAAGTGAACTTTGGCTACAACAACGATTGCTGCAAAGACTAATAACAGAATACATCTGGGAAGAGCTTCATTGAGATCTGGGTGTCAGCCCTCCCAGGTAAACCAGACAGGAAACACGGCCAGATGAGCTAATTCTACTTTATTTTAAAGCTACATTAACAGAATTTGGCAAGTCTGACCGTTCCCTTGGCTGCGTCTCTTTGCCTTGTCTCCCAAGGTCATTCCCACTTACCGTTACGCTGGGGGAATGACTTTTTCCAGGCTTCCCAGCTCCTTCTCCATTATTATGGAGCCACAGCTGCCAATCCTGCACTGAGCCCATTCTTCTCTTTCCCTGAGGGATGCGTTGCATTGCATTGCATTGAGCTCTAAATGCCTGCATTTACATGGCCAGCAATGTTAAGGAGTGGAATTAATCAGTTAGAACTTTTGTAGATAATGGGAAATGCGCGTAATAAATCAAAAGTTAATGAAGTAGACTTCTACAACCTATTCCCTTCAGCCAACCTGAAGAATGCAGTTTTCTTACTGTGTATTTTGTAACAATAAATTCATACTTGCCAAACTCCAAGTAAGCAGTGCTTATTTGTGCACACAATCTAAATGCTGAACTGCCTTATTTAATATTCTGTCTGTGTTTCCTTCATGGAGTTTTATTCCTTATCTCCCCATCCCACCAAATATTCAGTTCCTCTCAGCCAGCCTTTCATAGTTGCAAGAGAGATTATTTAAGGCAGCAGAAAAGATACAGTTTATCTGCAGAAGAAGAAGAAAAAAACCTGTTCATTCAAATGCCAACAATACTGATTCTAACACTTGATTAACTTTGGACTGATCCTCATGTTCCCCGGCCTGCAACATGAACGTGCCCCTGTAATGTTTATATGACATGTCCTCAAGCCATTGTCGGTGTCTCATCCTAAACCAGAACTGAGGCTGCTTAAAGTTATATTTAGCTGTTCCAATGTTAGTGTCTTCCATCTTCTCCCAATGCAGTTTTTACTGTAAACATGACCCAGGTCAGCTTGTCAACAAGGTGGATGATGATGTGAGAGGGGCTGGGACCTGCTCAGTTTCTATTGTCTACTTTTGGCTGATGCAGAAACATCTCCTGCTCTCCAGACGGTAGACACTGTACTCCATGACCTTTGTGGCTTGGGCTGTAGGAGGGGCTCAACACTTGGCTTCTGCTCATGCACGACCTTACCAGCCCATTCTGAAACACATGCCAGGTCTTACAGGTGTCTAATATACATGGATTTAGCACACTTTTGAAAGAGCACTTCACCTGTGTTTTTTGAAAAAGGACTAGAACTCTGAACATGTACTATTTCTAAGCTTTGCAGATCAATTTCAGCTGGAAACAGAGATGGATTCTCCCACCAATGGGTGAATTGCAAGTGTTCCACTGCTTCTATCAAAAAAGGGTTTCACATGGCCATCCACTATTTTTATTTCTTTGGTTGAGTGGGATGTCTTAATTTTGCCAACTCACTTACTGGCACTGGCGTTGCCTTGCACCATTAGCTGAGGTTGGAGCCCACTCATTATCAAACACTTCCTCCTGCTTCACCCCATACTTCTCCTCTGTGCCTATTAACCTAACTGATAGGTCACACATAAGAGGGAAGGTGGAATGAAGCAGCAGGAAACACTCCAAATGGATTGAGCAGGAAATCCCTCCAGATTCTTCCTGTTTCCCTCCTCTATGCCTGTGGCCTCTCAGCTGGGCTACTTTTTGAACACAGACTTAACACTCCTTCAAAAAAAACCACAAAAAAACCAAAAAAAAAAAAAACCCCGCTGGACACATGTTGAGAAATAGCCTGACTAACAGGTCACAGGTGTGGACCCCTTCTGTTAGTGCAGCAACTTGACATCTATCTATATCCATCCCACCAGATGTTCAGAACAGGGGCTAAAGGGAGGGAAATGAAACTAGAGTAATCCATTGATGGCTTTCCTTAACTTGCCTTGCATTAAAATTGCAATGATAGCTCTGCTTACTGATTGTGTCACTGAGAGAGAACAGGGCTCAGTAATCAGGGCAGTGCAATGTATACCAGCATGCTTTTCTGCCAGCTGATGGACTGGAGGAAAGCATTTTAACAGAGCCATCTGCAATAAGACCTCTAGGGCAGAGATGAATAGCAATCCCTGGAGATTTTCCTTGTCCCTTTCCTGGGCTCCCTGTCCACGTAATTTTTATTTTTAATAAGGAAAGTTAAATGGGAAATTGGCTGCTGAAAATTAAAACACCAGCCTCTAGCATAATCTTTATTTACTCAAACTGCCCCAGGACCTCTACAGTCCTCCCCCTCTCCAAAAAATAGCTGGACACAGATGATGAGGAGGGCAAGATAGAGGGAAAGTGGTGGCGGGGAGCATTTTACCTATTGATAAAAGGATGTTTTGTGAGTGCCCCTGTACACCAAGGCAACCCTTTTCTAAATAGGAACTCCTCCCTCCCAGCAGCCATTTGCAAGAGTGCCAGGTACATGTTCTCAAAACGCTAAATGTACTGATCAGCTTCAAATGACTGCCTATGCCTCACCTAGACCTCTCTTATTCCTTTGTGCTCAAAGTAAAAAGATAGCAGCTTCTGAGCTTCAGAAAACTGCCTTTTCATTTTCCTCTCCTTTTTAAAGGGAGCACTGGAAATCTCTACCTGTAATCTGTTTTTCTACATGGAAGGACTGAAAAAATAAACAATATTTATTGTGGAACTTTCTTCTCCTACTTTATTTTTTTTTCCAGCCCCAAAATACAGGGGTAATCATGATCTATTTTTCTTAATGTAGGTCTGCAAATCATATATTCATCATTGTGGGTGACTGACCTTGTCCCCAGAAAATAAAAAAAGAATAAAAATAAATAAATTGATATGCTGCCCAACTCCCAGTGACGCTGGGAGGCTGACCAATGCTTGTCCAGCATATCTCCTTTTTTAATTCTCTCCAGCATAAAATCTAACCTGTTTTATTTTAAAAAGAAAGCCATTACATGCGCTCTAGACTAGGGATGAACAAAACTCTCCATGCCCCAACCATTGTATCCATGGAACAGACAATTTTGAGTGGTCTTTACCCACAACAAGCCAGATGTGCTTTCTCCAGGCATAGAACAAAACCTGCATGTTTTGGCAGAGGTGTTCCAGGGTTGGAGACAGAGGGGGAAAGGCAAGAGTGGTACATAAGGGACAGTTAGCAGAATGACTGCACAGAGAAGATTGGGTGGGTAGATTGCCTGGGTATACTGAGCTTGAATTCAGGTGTGACAAAGGGGAGGTAAGAGGAAGAAAGATGCTGGGCAGGTGGATGCATAGGGGAGAGAGAGTGGCAAGGCATATCATATTTGCCCCACTGTCCCTGCAAGATTGGTCTGGACTCTGCCTTGGCTGAAATCCAGAATAATCAAAATGTTCTGAGTTTCAGTCCAGTTGAGCCATGACCTGCCTAGAATCGTTTGGCCAAATTTGCAAGCCACCATGTGTTTGTTATCCTGTACTTTTGCCTTCCATACAAGAGTATGGATGTTTTTTGTATCATCTTTCACCTCAGATGAAATCCTACAAGCATCTGAGTCAGGTTCCTCATTGGTGGTAGTTTGATACTGTGGGCTTTTCTTCTGTTTACTTTCTCCTTTGTGCCAGAAGGCCACATCAATTGGAAGTTGGAGGGGCAGCAGTTCCTTCTATCATTTATCTTTGAAGAGGAAACAGAAAAATGTTTTTTTTAATGATGTTGCTTCTCAGATACTTGCTCCTAGATATGCCGTGGCTAGTTTTGGTTCATGAAAACAGATTTCAGGGTTGTGTTTTCAAGTTGTGCACGTGAATAGGAATTTCCATCTTCAGAAGAAAAATTTAGTCTTTTCACTTGAAGAGAAAATCCGCAAAGTAAAATGTAAGCAACAGCCTCAATTTATGCATGTTTACTTGGAAGCAAGTTCTACTAAATACAATAAAATTTATTCCTGAGCAGATATTCTTGATCAGATTGCAATTTTAATTCTCTAATTCCAAACAACCCCACTCGTGCTCTACATGTCTTGTTTTGAAACATATTCATCTAAAGAACTATGGACTTTTCTGCTGGAGTTCATTAACATCTGGAAGACCACAGGTTGCCCATCTCGGGTGAAGATCCACTTCCTGCCACAGTTCATTAACTCATGGTATAAAAACACAAAGTAAGTATTATCGAATATCTAGTATTTTCTTTTTCGTCCTCAAGAGCGCAAGGAGCTACCTACTGCCAAGCCAGTAAAGCTGATTATTTAGGATTATTTGATCCTCAGTATCACCAACCTGCAAGATAATTTCTTACTTTTAACGGGGGCAGTTGTCTGAACATTCTTGCGTTTCTCTGGTGGTGGGGGAATAAGAGGAGTGGCACGGCACGACTGTGCAGGAGTCTAGAAGAAAACATTTTAGAACAATCCAAGGCATCAGCAACAGCAATGGTAACGTGTCAAAAACATTCTTTTCTAGGCAACAGCAAATTTGTCCTAAGACTGCTCTTTTCCTTTCTCAAAGATGCCTCTAGAGGATAGCATTAATAATCAGCTTCCTCTATGAGCCAAGCAGAACCTCGGAATGTGTGTCGCTTCCCTCCCTCCCTCCTTTCAGACAAGAAAAGCAGGATGTTTAATTGCTATGTTCAGCAAAGTGCCGCATTCATGTTGCACCGACCTGTCAAGCACACACGCTCTCTGTGGCTCTCAGCCCCTTTGCAGAGGCAGCAAGCCATGTGCACATTAGAGGCACTGGGAGCGATCCATGCAACAAATTATCCTTGTGAAAGGATAAAGACAACAGCTCAGCCCGTGCAGGCTTCCTTCACGTTAATGCATTCAGAGCAATTTTTTACTTAGACTAGAAAAAGTGTCTCAGAGTAGACAAGGCCATTCACAATGGCAGTCGTTCCCTGCAGAGGCTCATGACGAGAAAAGCATCAAGTGGTGTGCCATGCTTCCTCTAGCTAGTCCACTTCCCAAGTCTCACACTTCTCCTGGAAGCAGAGAGGGCTGGAAATACTGACTTCAGGGCTTTCTCTCTTTTTTCACCAACATCATAACCCTTGATTTCCTTTGTCTTAGGAGCACAGAAACAACACAATATGAACCCTAACCCTATAATGATCTAAGTCCTTATGTGACAGCGCAGCACAATTTGTTTCTCTCAGAGGACATACCAAATGCCTGCATCCCCACTGGGATCCATTTAAAATCTCAGCCTGCTGAGCCTCATTCAGGAAGTATAGGTGGTCCTCAGGTTACCACCACTCGTTCAAACTTATGACAGTGCTGAATGAGGGGGACTTACGACCAGTCCTCGGAGTTCCAGCAGTCGCAGTGTCTCCACAATCACTTGATCATGACCTGGCACCTGGCACTGCAGTGAGCCGTGGTCATGTGATTGTGATTTCTGCATTCTCTGCTGGCTTCCCACAAGCAAAGCCAATGGGGAAGCTGGCAGGAAGTCATGGTCAGGTGAGATCCTCACTTAACAATCTATGTAGTCCTCACTTAACGACTGCAACCAGGACTGCTGGAACTGCTGTCACTAAGCGGCACAGTCATATGATGTCACCCTTTATGGCCGCATTACTTAGCAATGGCAGTTCTGGTCCCACTTGCTGCCATAACCCGAGGACTGCCTGTAGGTTTCGACACTGATGGCATTTTGCTGGATTCCAGCTGAACAAGAATTCCAGTCTTTGGCTGTGGGTTTTCTTTTCAATGAATCCTGCATTTTGACCTGAGTCCCTTCTGCTGAACTCTTCTACTTACCTTCCTCCCTTTTTCAAATCTCTATGCCTCTTTTTTCACTCCCCTTCTTGGTTCCATCCTTATATCCTACAGCCAAATGTGATGCTTATTCCTGCACCTCCTTCAGTTAATCCTTTAATCTCTCAGCACCCAGAGGGTAAACCAGAATTTTGTTTCTTACCCCCAAATCTAGATCCCTCCTGGGGTACCCTCCTTAGAGCAGCCTGACTCCTTTGAGTTACTACACGCTCCAATGTTACGATTACTTCTGAAAAAGTGTATGTGTGCACACATGCACACATATCATCTTATGTTGGATCTTTCTTTGGGGACCAGAAATCCTGGTCCCATGCATAAAGCAGATTATACACAGGATTTTAGTGCTGTTTGCCTGGAGTTGGTGCTCTGAAAGTGGGGTTGCTGGCTGTAATTCTGTTGTCATGAACAGATCTCTGGTCAATTTTATACTGGCAGCTGCTATAAACCTCTGCTGGGATACAGGAGTAATTAAGATAGTCTAACCCAGGTGGTTGATGGATCTGGATGGTTTTCTGAATGCATTTGCACAATTTCCAGCCTAGTTTGTCATCAGTACTGCTTAAACCTGGCCAACTGTGGAACATAGAGCTAGCCAGGGTGGTGAACCATATTGTTCCTAAATGCCCTCTTCCCTTCAACAGACATCAGACATCTTGGTTCACCAGGTTGTTGAGAGAGATGAAGCAGACTGATAATAGGCAGGATTACTGTTGCAGAAACTCTGGGTACAATTTGGTTTTAACCTGGAATTCAGTCCTCCTCAAGGCCTGCTTGCAATCCTGTTCTGTGGCAATGGATGTAGCAGGGAGGGCTTACTTCTTTTCCTCTGATGCATCTGCACTGAACAGTTCGGCAAATGCTTTTCAATACTGCACAGCATTTCTTCCATTAAGATGTTGAAGGAGGGGAGTCAGAACAGTTAGAAGCTTGCAGTGAGCAAATTTCTATCATTCTTTGTAGAAAAGACTGGATTTGCCTCAGACTCCAGTATTGGGGCAGATATAGGTCCTGTTCATCTGGATTTGTTTGTTTGTTTGGCTTGTACATCTTGAAGATGTGGACAGAGGAGTTTTCCTTGACCACAGCTGTCATGATTTGCAAATGATGGCTAGGACAAGAAGCATATCTACAGAACTATGCCCAGTGTGCCAGCTGGGGCCTTCTCTTCTTGAGCCATTTGGATTTAGTGACTTGGAATTGCTTACCCAGAAGCAGTATATCAGGTCATAAATATATATTAATGCAATGTTTATTTATAATTATATATATTTAGGGTGGGAGCGTTCAGCTTAATTCTTTCCTACAAATGGATTCCCTACCTAGAAAAAGACGATGTGTGACCCCACTAATTATTGGGAGGTGTGGTAGGTGTAGGCGTAGTTCTTCCTCAGCGAGGTGATCTTTTAATGTTGGATTTTTACTGCTTTTAACCCTCATCACTCGGAAGCTGCAGCTGGTCCAGAACGCAGTGGTGCACGCAGCCATGGGCCTGCCACAGCTTTATGAACCACACTAGTTAATGGCTGGCTTCCAAGTACAATTCAAAGTGCTGGTCATTACCCCTAAAGGCCTTCATGGCATAGGGCCTGGTTATTTGAGGGGCCAACTATCTCCAGTAGTCTCTGCCTGCCCAGTAACGTTGGGCAGAACGGGCACGCTCCAGGTGCCTTTGATTAAATAGTGTCATCCATCAGACACCTTTTCTGTGGCAGCACCTGCCCTCTGAATCAGCCTCCCCCAGAGATCCTTATGGCTCTCATCCTGCTGATATTCTAAATGTCCTTGAAAACCTGGCTGTTCTCCCATGTCTTGAGGTAGAGTGGTTATTGAGTCTATGTTGGTCGTTTTTTGCTTGCTTGTATGTTTTTTTCCAGTTGTACATGATTCTTTTTTTTCTATTTTATTGTTTTTGTTTTTTAAAGTGTAAGCTGCCCAGAATCTTTTGGAATCTAAATTTAAATTTAAGGAAATAAATTAATAAACTAATAAAAAGAGGAACACTGGAGTAGGACTGCATTTTCTCCTGCCCATCTTCCTTTTCCTTTTGTCAACCCAGCGGCTTTCATCTATGAGACCAGATCAGCAGTCATACTCTCAAATTGCTGCAATCCTAAGAATGTGTAATTTCAGTCTTATCAGAAAGTGAGCCAGAAAGGCCTTTTTGGGGGGAGGTGGGGGGGAGTGCCAAAATGTACCCAGATATCCAAACTGTATTTTGCTGAAGCCTAAATGCATGCTGGCCCAAAAGTATATGCATTTTAAACCTAGTTCCACAGTCGCCCTCTCTTACCTGAGAAGATTTCCCTGTGTTGTCAAAACATCTGGAAACAAGCATTTGCCCCAAAGGCTACACACTCTCTAAGGATTCAGAATTCTTCAAATCCTACTACCCTGTCTCAATTATTTTAACAGAAAGAGGGAATTTGTTGTCCTTCATATTCTTTTTCTCAGAAGCAATTAGTACTTAATCAATTTAATCAGAAACAGGCTATTTAGGAAACAACCATGAAGACTAAGCCTAAAGCCAGGAAATCACTTCAAATTAGAGGGAAGAAACTGAAGCTTAAAAATCATTATATTATATCATCAATACACACACACACACACACACTTCAAAAGGTGTATTTTCCCCAACTTCACCATGATTCTGAGTGCATCATCTGTGTATCATAGTGCAAAGCACATTCTATTTGGAATACACTCAAAAGAGATTGGCCATAAATCCTTTACAAACTGGATTACGGGAAATTGTCTTCCCATTATTTGTCAATGCACTTATGCTTTGCTAGAGCTTCACTGATACAAAAGGATCATGATGGGGAATAGAGATGGGCAGAGGAGTTCTGTTATTCATTTTTCTGTCCATAGAGAAATATTTCTGGTTTTTCTCTTCTTTTCCAAAAAACCCCAAAGGCTAAATGAGTTTATTCCTCTTAGGTGCAGATGTCAACACTCAAAAGAAAAGTTATTTTAGAAGGTGACAGGCCCTGTTCCATCAATTTCCATCAACATTAATTTCCCCACACCTTTGTATCTCTAATCACAAGAGCTTGCCTTCATTTAACTAAGACATACCCTTGTCCTTTCGGGGGATTGATTCCCCTGCTATATTGTTAACTTCAGAACCTAACAAATACATATCTGGAAAAGGATTATGCTCAGGTGAAGCTTTGTCTATATCTCACATTTTCTGTGTTCAGTTTTTAGTTTAACATTAGTAACAAAAAATATGTAAGGCAGCCTTTCCCAATCAGGTGCTCTCAGATGCATTGGAATTGCAACACTCAGAATTCCCACCCAGTCAGCCATACAGTTATCCTTAAATCAGTTAAATTCTCCATATTTAACTAAGGCTTGGAGAATATTGGCGGAAGAAGAGAGGTAAGATAACAAGCAGCAGCATACTAAAACATTTCTCCCTGCAATAAATTCTCAACTCTTTACAAGTATATTGTGAGACTGTTGGATATCCTAATCAGCACTGACAAATTCCTGTTCCTAGAGATACTTAAAAATCTGTAAATGAAATTCTAGACCACATCAGCCTGGTCTAACATAGAACAGCTACTCTACTCTGCAAGACTCATCAGCTGCAATAATCACAACATAAGAACTCATCATTGCTGTCATTCATCCTTGACTGGTCTTAGACTGTAAGACTAATAAAACCACTACTTTCCATTAACTCTCAAAACAGGTAGCTAGCAGGTGAACTGCTATACCCAAAAAGAATCCATGGAGTCTCAAGGTTTACAAAATTTATCAACAGATGTTCACTCCAGTAAAATACAGCTTTTTAGAAGCTGTATTTTACTGGAGTGAACATCTGTTGATCAATTTTCAACAAGAAAATGGTACACCTTAACACCAGCCAAGGCATAAGTTCTGCATGCCTAGAGCAAGCAGGAGAGAATGTATAAATATGGCAAAAGCGTTACCTGGTAAAGGCCACCTTCACCCTCTTGGGTGTCTTTGTTAGGCAAACTGTGGTGTCGTTCATATCCAGTCCTGCAGACACCATTGGGTTGCCTGGCTAGGTCCAGATGGTGATCACTTGTGGATGGGGTCATTCCTTGAGTGGATGGTGAGTGTCCTTTGCGGGAAACTGTTTCCTTCCGATGATGGATCAACTTTCTGACAACATAGCAAAAGAATCACATTGAGAAGATAGGTTTACAGAAATGTCCAACATTTCAGCTATACAATGAGTTGAAATCTGTATACAAAATCTTTTTTCAATTAAACAATAAATCAAGCTTTTTCCTATATCTATATGAAGAAAACTAAGAAGCTCCTTACTGCCCTGTTGAGGAAATTCAACTACAAAGGGTGAATGCAACAGAGATGGAGAGGATCTGGTGGTTTTTTCAAATGTTACTGGATTCAGTCCCAACCAGCATGGCTAATGGTCAGGGTTGACGAAAACTGGACTTTAAAAATATCTAAGGATCACAGATTCTTTTCAGCTTTAGAGTAACACTTTTAAAATAGAGGTTCCCTAAACAATTTCACCATTACAGTGTTCTGATATATTGATATTAAAGGCTACTTTGGCTTTATCTTTTCCACTAATTATAATTATTTAATCTGGATATAAAGCTATTTGAACACTCCCTAAACAATATAAATTTTAGATTACAGAGCATCTAGCTCCAGAGGAAGTCACCATGTTCTCAGGTAAGGGGACTTTTGTATGAGTGATATCATAATCTTAATAGTCATGCTGAGAAGTTCTTTACAGCAAATGTGATACTCCAATAACTTCACATTCTTCTGCTCTACTCAATGAATCCTCTGTATAATCTTTTTTTATATTAATTTTATTAAATTTCAGAAAGATTAAAGTACAACAAAAGTCAAAAAGAAAAGAAAGGAAACATCAGAAAAGAAAAAGCATAGAAAAAGAAAAGTAACTTCTGACTTTCTTTGGTACA